CCCATCAGCAGAGTGGCTACATGGGAGACCTTACAACTGCGCCGCTTTAAGTCAGTGATCTCCCTGCCGAGTCACACAGCATAAGGAGACTGCAGCCTGACTTGAGTGCAGAGGGGACTAAATCCAGAACAAGGAGCAGGAAAAGGACAAACTGTTCCTGGGAGTTGGGGGGCAACGAATGGCTGGGCAAGAAGACTGGGAGCTGCGGGAGAAGAGAATGAGGCTGGAGCCTGGTACAAGGGAGGGGGATAGACTGAGATTGGATGAGGAACCAAGAGAGGGCGGCTAGAACTGAGAGCAAGTGAAAAAGCAGGGAGGCAGATCAGACCTACGGTGACCAGATGTCCCGATTTTATAGGGACAGTCCTGACTTTTGGGTCTTTTTCTTTTATAGGCTCCTATTACCCCCACCCCCGTCCCAATTTTTCACACTTGCTGTCTGATCATCCTAATCAGACCTGGAGCAGCAAACTAGGAGTGGGCTGGGCAAGGAGACTGGGACTGGGGAGAAACCTGCAGACTAGAGACCGAAATAGGGTAGTGTGACGTTATGAGTGTAATATAATATCTCAGTGGAAGGTGGCAGGGCCAGAAAGAGTTAATTAACTCACGAACTGACCTGACCCATGGCTGACCTGTAGAGACTGGTTAGGAAGATAGGTAAATGAATAGAGCTTTGAAATGTAAGTCTGTATTGTTAGAGGTAGAAGGGTAGGTGTTTGCTCAGGTCTTGTAATGTAAGCAAACAAGTCTTGTCTATTGCTATAGCTTTAATTCAAAGATAAAAAAAGGAATATTAACATTTATGATGATACTTGAGTGAAATAGTACTATTGTCTATATGTCTCTTTGAAGGTTGGGTTAACCTGTATCTGAACTGTTTATGGATAAATTATCCTGTGCTAATTGCCATGATGTTTAGAAGAAGGAAAGTTGAGCCTATTGTTTTCTCAGGCCAAAAGGCTGCTGAAAACGTATAAAAACCTTGGGACACGATCCTTCTGCATCTCAGATCTGCTTTGGGTTTCAAGAGGGGAAACCTTAAGCCATAAGGATTGAGATCCCCAGTCACTGACTGGAGTCACCATGAATATGGACATTGGACTATAACCTATGGACTATATATCTAAAGGACTTTTGTCAACTACAAGCTCACCTCTGCTATGTATCTGAACCTCAAGAATTCAAGTCTGTATGTATATTGATCTTTTAACCAACTCTCTCTCTCTCTCCTTTTTTTAAAATAAATTTTAGCTTAGTTAGTAAGAATTGGCTATAAGCATGTATTTTCGGTAAGTTCTAAGTTATAATTGAACCTGGGTATGTGGATGATCCTTTGGGATTGGAAGAACCTTTTATTTTATATGATAAGATTTTCAGAAATCATCATCATATCTGACAGGTGTGACTGGACCTCAGCTGGCTCCCACGGGCAGCACCGTCACAGTAGGCAAGAAGAATGGGACTGGGAGAAGGAGCCAGGGTGGGGAAGAGACGGGACTAGGACAGATTGGAGGGGATGGAGCAGAAGGGATCAAGTCTGAGGGGAGTAGGGATAGAATGGGCAGAAGTCTGTGCCCAACAGAGACACAGCCTGGAAAAAACCTATTAATTCGTGAGTCTCACCATTCCTCTGCTGACAGCAAATACCTGGGAAATCCACTAGCAAAATGTGTGTCTCACCCCCTCTTGTGGTACACACAAATGATGACAACCTACTACTGCTATCAGTTACTTCACCAGTGGCAGAAAACTGGGCAGTGGAGCTAAAGGTTCCAACTCTGCTGATGAACCATGGAGGTGTCAATATGATGCCACATGATGAATTATCGGTTTTTCAGTTTGCTTTTTTAAAAAACTAGGAAATTACACATAAAAGTCCTAAGATAAAACAATAGTAAGGTTGTAAAGTCAAGCATTCAAATGTTAGGAAATGCCAGCTCCTTTGTGCACGTGCATGATACAGTCTTTACTTACATGATCACATCCTATTTTATCCACAAGATCTCTATCTCATTCAGTGCACAGAATCAGGGATGTGTAGGAAAGGAAACTGTTATTTGTAAGACTTGTTGCAGAAGTTGGAAGGGGTGGAATGAATGAGGTAGGCTTTTGCAGAAACAGAAAAGATGGTTCTACAGTTAAGACAGCTGAATTGGATTCTATCCCTGCCTCTGCCATAGACACGAAACTTAAACGAAAATGTTCAAACTAACTGTGTTCCTCATTTTCTGGGTGCCATCTTAATACCTTGGTGTCTGATTTGCAGAAGTGCTGAGCACTTGCAACTGAAGTCAGTTAGAGCTGCGCTTTGAATATATAAAGTGCTATATAGGAGAACCTCAGCGTTACAAATACCTTGGGAATGGAGGTTGTTTGTAACTCTGAAATGTTCCTAACTGAACAAAACGTTATGGTTTTTCTTTCAAAAGTTTACAACTGAACATTGACTTAACACAGCTTTGAAATTTTACTATGCAGAAGGAAAATGTTGCTTTTAACCATCTTAATTTAAATGAAACAAGCGCAGAAACTATTTCCTTACCTTTCAAATATTTTTTTAAAACTGTCCCTTAATTTTTTTAGTAGAAGTGAGGATTGTGTGAGGCGAGAGGGAAAGAACTGTGTGAGAAGTTGTTGCGACCTTGTGTGGATAAATATGGAATGTAGACTAGAGTCTAAACAGATGTGAAAAATAAGATATCAGGATGACCTATGTATTAACAATATGCAGCTGTTGCTCATTATTGAATGTAACAAAAGGTATAAATGCTTGCCTTAATTGTTTATCTTTTGAGAGACGGGGAGGGGAAAACCCTGTGTCCTACTGCACTCTCTGCCTCTATGCAATTGCTTGAGAATAAAGTATCTGATTTGCTGCACCCAAAAAAGAGAGTGGAGAAAAACAGAGTTCTCGACATCATGTTAAACACAGAACTGTACTGTATTTGCTTTTTTATGTGTGTCTCTCTGCTGCTGCCTGATTGTGTACTTCCAGTTCCAAATCAGCTGTGTGGTTGACTGGTCAGTTTGTAACTCTGGTGTTCGTAACTCTGAGGTTCTACTGTATAATGTTACGTTTTCTGAAAAATCAGGTTTTAGGCATCTCAAATTAGGAACCCAAAATCGGTGGAAACTTTTAACCTTACTCTCTCAGTGCCTCAGTTCCCTATATGTAGGCCGAGGGTAATATCGCCCCCTTACCTGACAGGGGTATTGTGAAGATTAATTTTGTGAAGCACTCAGACAGGGTTTTGAATAGTGTGCAGTAAATAAGGCATGGGGTCATACAGTGAGTAATGAGAAAACAAAATATTGAATAGCTACTCATTAAATGTGCCCCATCCATCCTCTGCACTGAATGAGGCAGGAGTTCCATGGAAAAAATAGTATGTGACCATCTAATTAAAGTCTGTATCATAATGCATATGGACAAGGGAAACAAATGATGACTGCACAGGCAACCTTCATTCTGCCATTTCCTAGCTTTTGTATGCTTGACTTTGTAAAACTAATAATGTTATTATGACATTGTTTGTATGTAAAATAGAGAGAAAGCCAGTGGTCTACTCAACAATTCCCATGTTCCTAAAGGAACTACTAACTTTGCAATTGTTATCCAGGCACATCACCTCCATATTAGTGCACACAACAAAATTCATGTGACGGGGTGGGGCCGAGGGGTTCGGAGTGTGGGAGGAGGCTCAGGGCTGCTGTAGATAGTTGGGGTGCAGGGGGTGAGGGCTCTGAGGTGGGGCTGGGAATTTGGGGTGCAAGCTGCCCCAGGGCTTCAACGAGGAAACAGAACTCCCTACAGCTCTCTCCCCATAGCAGCAGCTGGGCTGAGGGGAGGGGCGCCTCTCCCCGCCACGGCAGCTCCGGGGCCGCAGGCATAGGCACCGACTCCATGGATGCTCCGGAGCTGGAGCACCCACGACCTCCCCACCCCCGGCCCCTCCTCACCTCTGCCTCCTCCCCTGAGCGCGCCACGTCCCCGCTTCTCTGCCTACCTCCCAGCGCTTGCCACTGCAAAACAGTTGTTTCGTGGTGTAACAAGCTCCAGGAGAGAGGGGGAAGGAGCGGGAACGCAGCGCGCTCAGGGGAGGAGGTGGGGAAGCGGCAAGGCTGGGGCGGGGATTTGGGGAAGGGGTTGGCCCCTTCTCCCCCGGCCGTAGCTGATCCGTGGCTGGGCTGGGTCGAGTCCCGGGCTGGGGGAGAGAAATCCCCGGCCACATAGCTTAGAGGGAACTTAGGTGGTAGCTATGTCAATAAACATTCTTCTAGCGACCTAGCACTGTCTACACCAGGAGTTAGGCTGACTTAACTATGTATCTCAGGGGTGTGGATTTTTCACACTCCTGAGCGACATAGCTGGGCCAATTGCTGTGTAGTTATACCCTTTGTGTCTAAGCACAGGCTATTTCTCCAAGTCTGTTTTCTAATCTCTGCATTTCTCCATTAATAGTGCCTCAGCAACTGCTCTTGGCTACTGTTTCATTGTTAAAATGCTCATATCATTTGGAAGATTTTCCTTACAACTAATCTAAACTTGCCCTTCTTGAATTTAAGGCCATCAATTTAGCTATATATCTTTGATCAATGTGGAATACGTCTCTCCCTCCCTTTATCTATTATTTCAAGGCTTTCTATATAACCATCTTATCTCTCACTTTCCCTTCAAAGTTGTAAACTCTTTAAAATATAAACATAATAGAGATGTTAACAGAACCTGAATGAGCAGCATGAATTGCAACACTAATTAAAACATCAGAGAAAAGCAACCAATCCAGTTTCATTTTCAGCCAGGCTGACACCTGTTACAAGTCTGCAGGAATATTCATAATTCATAGCCTTTTTTACATTTCTTCACAATACCAATAGCACAGGGGTTTTTTAACACTGAAATCTTTCAGAACTGGTTATTCATCCAATATTTAATTATTCATAATATTTTAAATTAATCTTGTCTGTGTGTAACAAATAGATTTCTTTCATTTCAGGTTCTACATCCTAGGACAATTGGCACTGATGTCTGTAACGAACATTGTCACCTGCTCAGGAACTATGACTCACATCAGAGGCCATGTGTGTTATTGTAGATGCTATGGCCTAGTCTACACCTAAAATTTTAGGGTCTCTCTACACTAGAAACTCTACAGCACTGCAGCAGCACCAATGTAGTGCTCTAGCTTAGGTTGTGTCTACACTGCGCACCTTACAACGGTGTGGCTGTGCCGTTGCAGGTGCGCCGTTGTAAGGTGCGCTGTGTGGCCGCTTTTTATCGCCAGTAGAGAGCTCTCCCAATGAGGGGCAGTAACTTCATCGCCGAGAGTGCAGCTCCCCACAATGAAGTGCTGTCCACACCAGTGCTTTTTGTGTTTTTTCACACACCTAAGTGACAAAAGTTTTAGCGACAAATGTGTCAGTGTAGACAAAGCCTTAGACACTTAATACAGTGACAGAAGGGGTTTTTCCGTTGCTGTAGTAAACACACCTGTCCAAGAGGTGGTAGCTAGGTTAACATAAAAATTCTTCTGTTGACCTAGTGGTGTCTACGCCAGGACTTAGGTCAGATTAATCACAATTGCACAGGGAGTGAAATTTTTCACAGCAATGTAGTTAAGCCAACCTAACTTTCTGGTGTAGACCAGCCCTAAGGTTGATCTAGCTACATCATTCAGGGGTGTGAAAAATTCATATCCCTGAGAGACATAGTTAAGCCAACCTGAGCCCAGGTGTAGACACCACTAGGTCGACCAAAGAATTCTTCCATCAACCTAACTACTGCCTCTCGATGGGGTAGATTTACTATAGGGACAGAAAAACCCTTTCCATCATTGTAGGAAGTGTCTATGCGGTGGGGCTGGGGCTTGGGCCCTCCAACCCAGGGCAGCAGGACTAGGGCAGGCTCAGGCTTCGGTCCCCCTCACCACCCAGAGTCATGTAATAATTTTTGTTGTCAGAAGGGGGTCGCAGTGCAATTAAGTTTGAGAATCTCTGGTTTAGACAAGTAGACACCAGAGACAAGTTCTCTATTATTGGTGTGGCAGGCTTCAAGTCTTTGGATATTTTCATTTTTAAAAGGGTGATTCTTTTGAGGGACAATTAGTTATGTTGAAGAAGACCTCATATTGTATAACCAAATTGACCTGCATATACAAGGCCTGTTATTGATCCACCTTCCCCTAACTTCTGTCCACTTGTCTTCCCAGCCTTAGATTGTGCATTCCTTGGAGTACCTGACATTTCTTCTTGAATGTTTGGAAATGGCATGCATTGTCTGCACTACTATAAACAAATATTACTTTAAATAATAAGAAGCAATGCAACATCATTGATTGAAAATATAAATTTGAGGGGATGAGAAAAGATTAAACAGATACTTAGAATATTTCTTAAATTTGAATCCCAGTGTAATTTCAGTCTTTTTATCTCAGAAACTTCAGTGAATTTGTATCTTATTTGTAACTTCTGAATAAATTCTGTTTCTTATTACTGCAAGATGTATATTTTTGAAATGATAAACAATTGTTAATAATGGATGGATCTAAATTGAAATGTTTATCCCACAGCATGAAAAGTAAAATAAGTTAGTGCTCAGACACTAAAATGTAAATTGTACATCCAGGGTCAAAATCTTTCTTGCCATTCTCATTTAAGTATTTCAATTGACTTCAATGGGACTATGGGTATGAGTAAAGCAAGCAGCATTTGGTTCCCAGGCTTAGAAAGCCTGACTTGACTATGCCTAGCATATATATTTTCTAGCAGCTGATTATAAATAAGTAGCCTTATTGATGCCAAAAGTTCCAGGTAGAATGAGTCTGTCCCGTGACTGTATATAAACATCAAGTAGCATGAATCCTAACATTTCATTTGCTTTCAGTGGAACACTAACTACCAAGAGCAGCATAGCTGAGAAGATACAGAGGCAAAAGATACCAGCCTTTACCCCCTTTTCATTCACTTTTCTGCCTTTATTCATGATGCCCATTATACCTGCAACACCTTCCCTGTTCTTGTCTATCAAGGCACTCTCCTCACCTCATTTTAAGTTGCGCTTAAAAAAAAAATCATCTCACTTTTCCTGCAATGTCTACAATAAATGAGTCAATTATTTTCATTGGTTTTAATGTGATCTGTTTTATTTTCCCATTAAAAAAGAAAAACACGAAGATGTGTACATCTTATAGCAAATAGCTACATTATGCTATTGCTGTATATAGCATTCTCCCTTACAATATCCCTGTATTCCCATTCTCCCTTACAATATCCCTGTATTCCCATTCTCCCTTACAATATCCCTGTATTCCCATTCTCCCTTACAATATCCCCCTCCCTTCTGCTGTAATCCTTACTGATAGTGTTACGTCTAAGGCTAGGTCTACACATAGGCAGCAGGTATAATAGGCCTTCCCTGGCACAGCTGCAGGACGCCATTTGCGGGTTTTTACTTATTATGTGACATGCAGGTTCCGGGGCGACTGAGGAGGCAGTATCTGCTATTCAGCTTCCTGGGTTCATCAGTAATCTCCCTTGACTTCAGAGAGATTACTGATGAACCCAGGAAGCTGAGTAGCAGATACCACCCCCTCAGCCGCCCTGGAATCTGCATAGCGTGCCGCATATATAAAAAGTTCCCCATTCTTCCCCTGGGCGAGGCGTGCTGCCTTTCTCATTCTCCGAACGGCACAGAGCTGGCTCAGGCCAACACAGTTGGGGGTGGGTTGGGCTGCTGATGCCCAGGTAGGGCACTGGTGTTCCTCTGGTGGTGCAGGACCTGGAGGGGGGGGGGAGGGGGGGGAGGGGTTGGGGTTCCGATGGGCCCTGGGCTTCCCCGGATGCAGGAGGGGCAGTCGGGGGAGCTCAGGGCTCCGCTGCGTGGGGCAGGGCCTCATGCGGAAGGGGCGGGGCCAGGGGGCTAGCCTCCCCGAAAGGGGTGTCCACCTGCCACCCATGGTCTACACTACAGCCTATGTCAGCAAAACTTATATCACCCTGGGGTGTGAATATTCCACACCCCTGAGCGACATAAGTTACACTGACATAAGCACTCGTGCACAGTGCTAGGTCAGTGGGAGAGCTTTTCCCACTGACAAAGCTTATGCTGCTCACGGAGGTGTTTTTTTTATGCCAACAGGAACACACTCACCAGCTGTGCTGCTGCAGTGCTGTACATATAGACATGGCCTAAGAGTGGCTTGCCTACACTTGAAATGCTACAGCATATCATTGTAGACACTACCTATACCAATGGGAGGGTGTGACGTTGTGCAGTCTATATGGTTTTATAAAAATATAAGTGAATATAATGTAACTGGGATATGCTTCATGCAAAAGGTCTCTTGTAAGGTATCATTACAAAGCTCATAATCTACTGAGTGTGATCATCCTATTTGTAGAAAAGTACCACTCTTGTATCTAAAACTAGAAATATAAAACATAACTCTGAGGGCCTATTGTAATTATGTAAAGTGTGGGCCATTAAGGATGGTTTGGAATCTTGATGACTCCCATTGTCTGCAGATGGCTGTATTTACCCGGGAGTCTTCCTGTATATGTGTGTGCTGGCAAGTGAGTAATGAAGTCTTGCAGTGACATGTGATCATGTCACCTGAACTGGAATCCATCTTTAACCTGGTGCTTTTCCAGTGAGGGGGGGGTGGAAACCCTGAGGGACAAAGGGCTCCCGCCTGATGCAAAAGATATATAAAGGGGTGGAAGAGAACAAAGAGAGGGAGGAGCCATCATGAAGAATCCCCTAGCCATCACCTGAGCTGGAACAAGAGCTGTACCAGGGGAAAGAATTGTGCCCAGGCCTGGAAGGTGTCCAGTCTGAGAAAAACTTACTGAAGCATCTCTGAGGGTGAGATTATCTGTATTTAGTTTGATTAGACATAGATTTGCGCATTTTATTTTATTTTGCTTGGTGACTTACTTTGTTCTGTCTGTTACTACTCTGAACCACTTAAATCCTACTGTCTGTATTTAATAAAATCACTTTTTATTTAGTAATTTACTCAGAGTATGTATTAATACCTGAGGGAGCAAACAACTGTGCATATCTCTCTATCAGTGTTATAGAGGGCGAACAATTTATGAGTTTGCCCTGCATAAGCTTTATGCAGGGTAAAACAGATTTATCTGGGTTTAGACCCCATTTGGAGTTGGGCATCTGAGTGCTAAAGACAAGCACACTACTGTGAGCTGTTTTCAGGTAAACTTGCAGCTTTGGGACAAGTGATTCAGACCCTGGGTCTGTGTCTGGAGCTAAACGGGACTGTCTGGCTCAGCAAGACAGGGTGCTGGAGTCCTGAGCTGGCAGGGAAAACAGAAGCAGGGGTAGTCTTTGCACATCGGGTGGCAGCTCCCAAGGGGGTTTCTGTGATCCAACCCATCACAGAGGGGTTCTCCCATCAACGTAGGTAATCCACCTCCCCAAGAGGCGATAGCTAGGTCAACAGAAGAATTATTCCGTCAACCTAGTGCTGTCTACACAGGACTTAGGTCAGCTTAACTACATTGCTCTGGGGTGTGAATTTTTCACACCAATGAGCAACATAGCTGGGTCAATCTAAGTTTCTAGTGTAGACCAGTGCTAACTTTTCAAAGAAGAGGAAAAATGCTGTCCCTACCCAGAAGGATGTACCACACATTTGAGTACTATAAAATAAATAAGCTGAAAATATTTAACTTTTCCTAACTGAGCAACATACTAAATGTACTGACTGCATTTACAGCAAGAGATAATTTTTCAAATGTAATTAAATTATAAATGTTTACAATTTGTAAATATCTTAGGAATGGTTGGGAAAGAAATCCCTAGAGTCCTAAGTCATATGCCTATTTACCAATCAATCCTTCCTCTTTGGACACATCAGGAACCACTCACAGGTGCTCAAGTAAAATCTTGGTGCATCTGCTACAACTAGAGTAAAATGCACAAAATAGGGTGTGTCTAGGATTGGAATTGTTTTTTCCTTCCCCCTAGAAACAAATAGAGAGTCCTCTGTTGCTTTTTACAGATCCAGACTAACACAGCTACACCTCTGATACTAGAAACAAATGTCCATCACTTTAAAAATAGAGGACACGAGCCACTGAAGAATATACTGTAAGGAAAAATCCTGCACTAGTCCCTACAGAACAAAGCATGACCTAACATTTTATTCCATCTCCAGATACTACATTGAACATAGACTTTTGTATGTTAAATCTCTTTGGAGCACAAACTTTGTTTTCTGCCTTTTCTAAAGGGACAAGCTGCAGAACACACTAAATCTGCAACCTTGGGAGAGGAGGCTGTACAATCAGGATGGAAGAGCTGAGCATTACAAAGACAAAAGGAACTATGAAAAAGTAAAACTGGATGTATGCATATGTAGAGTGGCTAATGCAACAGGGTCAGTGTTTGAGAGGTGCATTAGAAATGCACAACATAAAATAAATCATTTGTTGGATGACACTCCAGGGCCCTCACTCCCTCCTTACACAGCTCCTTCATTCTCCCACGTCCCCTCACACAGCACTCAGCTCTCCACCCCCACTTCTCCATCCTCGAAATATAGCACTCAGCCCCCCACCCACGTCTCCATCCTCGTTATACAGCATTGAGCCCCCCCACCCCATTACACACCCACTTCTCCATCCTCGTTATACAGCACTCACCCCCCACCCATGCCAGCTCCGCTACACACAACTCCCCCCTTCCCTCAGCCCCGGGGAGGGGAGCGGTTCCCCAGCCCCCTGCCTGGCTCTGGGGGCTGGTTTGTCCGCTCGCAGAGCCTCGCCCCACATGCGGCCCCACAATGCCCCGACAGACGGTGGGGCGGGGTAGCAGCCTCAGCACCGTTATACGGGCCCAGTATGCTGCAGCAGCCCCACACTGGGGCCCAGCCTGCACTGCTGCAGGCCCCGGTGCCGCACCCACCTCCGGGCCCCCAACAATCACCCCCGACCCCCGCAAAGGCTCAGCGGCCAGGGCAAAGCCAGGCTATGCCCCCCACCCGGCTACACGCAGTGCGCTGGGATTTGTAGTCCGCTCCCGCCCGCGCCTCTGCTGGCCATCACAGAACGCGTGAACCCCAGAACTACATCGCCCATGCTGCTTCGCGGCAGAGGCGCCGCACCTCCCTCCCCCCGCGGCCGGCAGGACAGAAGAACGTTCAGTCACCAACGCCGCTCGCGCCGCGGCCCCTGTTAGGTTTTGTTTCGCGTCCCTGCCCCAGCAGCCTCGATGGGCGCCGCCTAGTGAGCCCCTGCCCTTACCTGGTGGAGTCACCTCCGCCTCTGACCCTGGGTGCGTGCCCGCGGGCGGGGGGCGCAGCCCGCAGGCTCCGTTAGCCCGTGGCGTGCGCGCTGCGGCGGCGGCTCGTTGCCATGGCGGCGAGGGGCGACGCCCGGCCATGGTGCCTGGGTATCCCGCTGCTCCGCCCCGCCCCCCGCCCAGAGAGAGGCGAGGGGGGGCGGGCTGGTCTCCCCTGAGGGGTGGGTGGAACCGAGACCCCTTCCCCTTCCTCACCACACCCGGGCGGGGGGGCCGCCCCCACAGACCCCCCCCACCTCTGCCCGCCACACCAGGGGGGCAGCGTTATCCGCCCCCACAGACCCCCCCACCTCTGCCCGCCACACCCGGGGGGCAGCGTTATCCCCCCCCCAGACTCCGCCACCTCCGCCTACCATACCCGGGGGCAGCGTTAAATGCCCCCACAGCCCCCCCCACTTACCTCTGCCCACCACACCCAGGGGGCAGCATTACCCGCCCCCCCCAGACCCTGCCACCTCTGCCCACCATACCCGGGGGGCAGCATTATCTGCTCCCACAGCCCCCCCACTTACCTCTGCCCGCCACAGCCGGGGGGCAGCCTTACCCACCCCCACAGACCCTCCCACCTCTGCCCGCCATACCTGGGGGGCGGCGCTTTCCACCCCCCCAGCAACACCCCGGGGGTGGTGGTTACCCGACTCCATAGACACCACCCTTCATGAGACTGTTTAAAAAGCTCCAGACTCCTTGTTGTTTTTGTAGATACAGACTAACACAGCTACCCCCTAATACTTTAAAAAGCTGAAATGGTGATTTCTGGCCTGTCTGATGACTCACAGACATACCCCGTCTGTCCGCCCCCGCTCCCAGCCCACCTGTGCTCCATCCTCCCACGAATCCACACGCTGCCTGTCCCATCAACACCCATACAATGCCTGTTCCCAGTCCTCCCACATACCCACACACTGCCTGTCCCAAACACCCACACATTGCCTTCCCCCTCACACCCTGCCTGTGCCCTGTCCTCCCACATATCCACACGCTGCCTGTCCCCCCCAACACTCACACTCTGCCTGACCTCTGTCCTCCCATGTATCCACACGCTGCCCACTTTCCCCCCATCCTCCCACGTACCCACATGGTCTCTGCCCCCCCCATATTGCACCTGTCCTCCCACATACCCATACGCTGTTTGTGAGTCTGTGAGGTGGAAGCTGACACTCACCCACTAAACTTCCAACAGATGGGAATGTTTTTTAATCTTGCCGAGCTGGGCTGAAATCAAATTGGTGATGCACAGGGGAAAGGCTCTATGGCAGTGGGTCTGAAACTTTTTTACTGGAGACCCCTTTCACATCTCAAGCCTCTGAGTGCGACCCCCTAATAAGTTAAACACACTGTTTAATATATTTAACACCATTATAAATGCTGGAGGCAAGCTGGTTTTGGGGTGGAGGTTGACAGCTCGTGACCCCCCATGTAATGACCTCGCGACCCCCTGAGGGGTCCCAACCCCCGGTTTGAGAACCCCGGCTCTATGGCTCATTAGCAATGCCTTCCCAGATCCAGTCTCCAATAAGATGATGTGACTTCTGTGACCTCCATGACATCTGATGCTTCAGCCATTGCCAGCACGTATCATAGGCTGGGGGAGGCTAAGCCTCCCCAAACAGCCCCATGTGGCCCTGCTCACGCTCCACCTGAGGCCCCTTCCTGCTTGCCGCTTCCCCCTCGGCCCCAGCCCAGGCAGGCTGCTCCTGTTCTGGGGCAGCCAGCCTGCGGCTGGGACTTGGGGCAGCTGGGGCCACCCAGCACTGGGGGGACCCCGGGTGCGCCACCTGGTGTTCCAGGGCTGGGAGCGGCTGGAGGCACTGGGGCTGCTCACCCTATGCTGTGCGGGATGAGAGGTGGGACCGTGGCACCCGTGCTGGGGAGTGAAGCCTGCCTAGGAAACTAGGGCTGCAGGAGGAAGAGAGCTCCAATTGGATTTGCAAAAAACTATCCTCCATGGCCATTTGCAGAAATAAAGCCCATATGCCTACCGAGCGATTGCTGTTCACGGTAAAGCTCCATACTGGTGCTTAGGCCACCCAGCAGTGGGGTGATGGCACCTGGTGCTCCGGGGCTGGGGGCCACGCACCACCTATCCACACAGCGCTCTGGGGCTGGAGGTGCTTGGGCATCCTGGGGTTGGCGGGGGGGCCTTGGGCAGAAGGGGTGGGCTGGGCTGGGGGCTAGCCTCCCCAAGCCCACGGTTCACCCGCCGCCCGTGTCTACAGCCCCAGGGTGGTGGTGGGGTGGGAGCTGTCAGCCATCGTGGGCCCAGGAGCTGTGAACTACCATGTGTGGCAGTGGCCCCAGCAACCACTGCTGGGGGACCCAGAGCTCCCAGCCGATATAAGCGGTGAGGAGACCCGCAGCTCCGAACCACCAGCCCCGGAGCCATGGGCGGCAGATATCATAGGCAGGGGTAGGCTGTGCCTCCCCAAACAGCCTGGTGTGACCCCACCCATGCTCCACCCCCTAGGCCCCATTCTGCAGTTCCCAGTGCTCTGCCATGCTCTGCAAGGCTGGCTGGGGCTGGAGCTGGCCGGCCTGCCTCCCACAGGGACTCGGGGTGGCTGGTGCTAGGACCGCTCTACCTGCCCAGCGCTCAGACCACACTGCCCGGCACCCCAGGGCTGGAGGCGCTGCAGCCATGCTGCCCGGATGCCCGGTGCTGAGGCCATGGCGGGGATCTGGAGCTCTGAGCCGCCAGCCTCAGAGCTCTGTGCTGTTGCTGGCACCAGGGGGCACCCCAAGCTCCCTGCTGCCGCTGGGGGCCCCCGCAGCTCCCAGCTGCGGGACCCCAGAGCTCTCAGCCGCCGTGCACAGTGGGGAGACCCCAAAGCTTCCAACTACCAGCCCTGAAGCTCCGAGCCAAAGACCCACAGCACCGAGCTGCTACAGACAGCTGGGGGACCCCGGAGCTCCCAGCTACCGCTGACACCGGGGAGAGCCCGGAGTTCCGAGTGGCAGCAGGTGCTGGATCCTCCTCCCCCTTCCTTCCCGCAGCAGAGCTGGGGCTCATAACCATTTTGTCACAGTTATTTTTAGTAAAAGTCAGAGACAGGTCATGGGTTTCTGTGAATTTTTGTTTATTGCCTGTGTCCTGGTCTGTGACTTTTATTAAAAATAACTGAGACAAAATCTTAACCTTACCAATAAGAGCTAATTTTACACCTTGGCGAATGAGGTGAGGTTTGCTTTCTGAAGATAAATTTATTAAATCAAGTTCTGACCTTTCTGGAGTTTACACAGGTAGGATTTTCCACTCTGGACATGCAACCAAAATCAAAAATTGCTCTCAGTCTTAAGCCTATTTTGACAGACAAAAAAGGTGTGTTTTTCACTCATTAGCTCAAATTGAGTTAGATTAACCCAGCTGAAAAGCCCTCTTAACATGACTTCAAACATGTTAGGTTGAGTTAACTGGCTCTGTTGTAGCCTAGGATTTTCAACTTCAAATGTAAAAATCGACAAAGAGTCCTGTGGCACCTTATAGACTAACAGACGTATTGGAGCATTATACATTATGCTCCAATACGTCTGTTAGTCTATAAGATGCCACAGGACTCTTTGTCGATTTTTACAGATCCAGACTAACACAGCTACCCCTCTGATACTCAACTTCAAATGTGTTAACCTTCATTTTAGCACTCCTTAAGAAGACTTGTCAATTGTGTTATGTTAACTTGATTGAACTAATTTGATAGAAAATCATATATTTTTGCCCATCAAGACATGGCGAAACATACTACTGTAAACCAGTAGCTCTCAACCTTTCCAGAATGTGATTTGTTTTTTGTACCTCCAAATTTCACCTCACTTAAAAACAACTTGCTTACAAAATCAGACATATAAATACAAAAATGTCACAGCACAGTATTACTGAAAAAATGCTTACTTTCTCATTTTTACCATATCATTATAAAATAAATCAACTGGAATATAAATATTGTACTCACATTGTACTCATGTATAGTATGTAGAGCAGTACAAACAAGTCGTTGTCTGTATGAAATATTAATTTGTACTGACTTCGCTAGTGCTTTTTATGTAGCCTGAAGCTCCCAACTGCCATCCCTGAAGCTCCGAGCAAAAAAAAACCGAAAAAAATACTAGGCAAATATCTAGAGGAGTTGATGTACCCCCAGAAGACCTCTGCGTATCCCCTTAGGCAGTATGATAACTAGATCAATGGAAGAAATCTTCCATGAAGCTAGTACTGTTTACACAGGGACTTAGGTCAGCTTTACTATGTCTCTCAGGGATGTGGATTTTTCACACCCCAAGTGACGTAGCTGGGTCGATCTAATTTTCTAGTGTAGACCAGCCCATGGATACTGAGAGATTCACAAATGAGATGTCTGGAAACAAATAAAGAAAAAGGTTATGGTTTATTATTTTCTGTTTGTTTATTTCGGGTAAGGGAAATAGAACAGACAATAGCACCCAGTGACTAAGCAAGAATCGTATACCAAACTAAAGAGGCAGTAGTTGTTGGAGCAGCAGTGCACAACTCAGGAAATAAATAAACTCAGGCTTTGGCTACACTGGTGCTGTACAGCACTGCAACTTGCTGCGCTCAGGGGTGTGAAAAAACACCCCCCTGAGCGCAGCGAGTACAGCGCCAGTGTAATCAGTGCCTGCAGCGCTGCAAGCTACTCCCCTCGGAGAGGTGGAGTACATACAGCACTGCGAGAGCTGGAGTACATACAGCACTGGAGTTAGAAGGGCAAAAATGGGAAGAAGAGAAAGCAGCAGCCTAGGAAAGAGAACTGGAAAGGCAGTTCACGATTAAAAGGCTGAAATTAGAAAGTCAGGTCCCTCAGCCCGTAGGTAATCCTCACCAGGGGCCACACAGCTGAGACAAAGTGTGTCCAACAGTTACAGGGGGATTAATTGCATTGAAGACTATTTAACCACCTGCAAAAGGATATGCACAGTACACAGAACCCCTGGAGAATGACTTACTCCCCAAATGATTGGTAAAGCTTTGCAAGAATTCAATGATATGGATGTAAGTGACGCTATGAAATATGTCCAGTATAAGAAGTCTGTGTTCGGAGGTTTCAAATTACCTCAGAGGTATATTGCCTCAAATTTAGAAACCTCA